TCACATTGTTGCCCTGGCATTTCAGAAAAAAAAAGCAAACAGCCGCTCAAGTTATATTTGCATGTTACGAGTATTAAACAATATCATTTTTGAAGTTCTAAAAGATATTTCCTAGTTATGAAATAAAACTATTCCAAAAACTTTACATAACTGGAAATCAAAGCTTAATAATGCAAATGTAACAATATCAAAGGATTCTTATAAGACATTTTAATGCGAACAGGTCGCTGTTACATTTTTTAGCTCGACTATACGAAGTATATGGAGAGCTGTCCTACTCGCCCCGGCGTCGGCGTCGGCGTCCGCGTCCGCGTCCAGATTTTAGATTAAAGTTTTGGTGCAGTAAAATATTTTTCACTATAACTTTGTCATTTCTTAAGGTATCAACTTCAAACTTCAAATATATGTTCCTTATCATCAACCACATCTTATGTGACAAGGTTCATAACTCTAGCACTAATATTTTCAGATTTATCTCCCCTTGAACTTAGAATTTTCCTTAAAAAATACTATTTTTACTGATACTTCTTTATTTCTTAAGGGATCAACCTCATACTTCAAAAATATGTACCTTATCATCATCCCCATCTTATGTGACAAGGTTCATAACTCTAGCACCAATATTTTCAGATTTATCTCCCCTTGAAATTAGAATTTTCCTCATAAAATACTATTTCTTACTGTTTCTTCTTTATTTCTTAAGGGATCAACCTCATACTTCAAATATATTTACGTTATCACCATCCCCATCTTATGTGACAAGGTTCATAACTCTAGCACCAATATTTTCAGATTTATATCCCTTTGAACTTAGAATTTTCCATAAAAAATATTATTTTTTACTGTAACTTATTTATTTCTGAAGTGATCAACTTCATACTTCAATTATATTTACGTTATCATCATCCACATCTTATGTGACAAGGTTCATAACTCTAGCACCAATATTGCAAGAATTATCTCCCCATAAACTTAGATTTATTTACTAGAAAAATGTTATTTTTTATTTTAACTTTTTTATTTTTAAAGGTATCTACCTCAAACTTCAAATACTTATTCCTTATCATCAATTACATTTTATGTGACAATGTTCATAACTCTTGAAGCAATATTTACAGATTTATCTCTCTTTGAACTTAGGATTTTCTTTAAGAAATATAATAACTTCTTTATTTTTTAAGGTATCTACTTCAAACTTCAAATATATATTTCTTATCATTACACAAATGTTGTGTGGCAAGGTCCATAACTCTAGCATGACTATTTCTAGAATTATTCCCCTTGATCTTGGAATTTATGTTAACAAATGTTATTTTTTACTGTAACTTAATACATAATTATACATAATTGATTTTTCTTTCATAGTTTTGTCCTCCTTACTGCGTCCAGTATTTCATTAGTCGAGCTTCGCTGTCTCCTGTGACAGCTCTTGTTATTATTACACCTCTCCCATATTTTAATTAGTATACACAAAAAAAATATTATTTTCTTTCCAAGTTTCAAGACTGCAAATTCAATCAGCATTTTTTCTCCCTTAGATGATCTGTATGGCATAATTAACAGAGAAGTTCACATTAGTCGATCACTTGTGCTTTGCTGTTCTAATAATTCATTTTTCGAGTGGATGTTGTAAATGCTTAATGTTAAAATTAAGAATAAAAACTTGCAAGATGGCAAGTATTTTGATGATGTTCTCCCCTATCAACCAATGAAGATATAGTATGAAAAAAAATTAATTGAACAGTTAAATTTATTTGTGGTTATGTTAAAATCACAAAAAAATCACAAAAAAGTTCCGAAATTCAGGAAGATAATGCATACATTGTATTTTAAAAAGTTACTGTATACGTTGTAAGACAGGAATGTATGAACACTTGTCATTAGTATTTATCATTCCAAAACAGCAGGTTTTGTAATAGTTCTGTCAATTAATAGTCTCTTGTGATATTATATACATGGTTATTCCAGCGAGAGAATTATCTTACAATCAACTGTACGCATAATACGCATAATTAAATATTTCCTTTGATTTATACTTATTACATGATAGCATAATGTTTATATATGCTACCACAGATATTAGCTTTCTTATTAAAAATCACCTATACGAGTATTTTATGGTAGAACGCAAATTATAGCTTAACGCGATATTATTGGAAGTTATTATTCCCTACTGTTCAGATAAGTTGAATAATCAAATTTTGTTTCACTTTTCACGATCAACAAAAGTTTTACTACTAGAAAATTATTCTACTTCAAAATAATTGCAATAATGAATAAATTGCTTCCTCCATGCTTTTTTAACCTTGCGCCCTTCCCGTTTTTCTTCCGTTTCTGTTTGATTCCGCACTTGTTGCCTTTCTAGTTGTCCTATGTGACTGTTTTTTTAATGGCGTGTCTCCCTTACCGGTATTTGTAGTCATACCATAATGCAATATGCATCATTCTTTTGACTTTTACATGACTAAGTGACATCATCATTTATGCATATGCTACATGTACTTACCAATTCTACTTTTATATACTTGCAGTAATTTACTCATAGACATATCAAATGGACATAGGACCATTTGACATTTACAAAATAATTCAGACAAAAGTAACATTAATTTCATGAAGCATTGTACATCTGAAACATCACATTTTCTATGATATTGAAAAATAAAAGATTACAATAGATTTCCTATGGATTTGGATATACTATTTAGCGGAATCGGTATATGGTATTGAATTCCTTGTATTTAATGGTAAACTAATATGTTATTCATGTACAATTTTTATTCAGTTTTGCATGAAAAAAATTAACATTGGTACATGGGTAGAATAGTTGATGCAATTTATATCCTCTATACAGTTCTGAGGGTGAATCTGTCCCTGCGTTCACAAAAAGCAGCTTATGTTGTCGAGACCCTGGACATGCTACCAGACATGTCCTTAAAGAGCTAATTCTCAAGCGCAAGATGTCGGTCCAATTTTCAACGAGTATAAGGCAAATATATGAATTTTGAGCCGAAACAGCGGTCAATGACTTCAAAAAAGTACTGCATCTTGAGACAAAAATAAAGGAAGTTAGTTGTGAGTACCAAGCATAAGGGCATGCATTTCAAGCCGTTATTGAGTACTAGTTGCTCACACACCCTAGTACACCCGTCGTCCTTCTTATCTACTCTGTAGGACCACATCCCAGACATCAGCAGTGGTTCGTAGAGTGAGAGAAAAGTTTAACGCCCAATGCAATGTGGCGGTAGTTTGACCTCATGGATCTGCCCTCCACCGCGGATCTTAACTTGCCAACGCGTCATTGGTGAAATGAAGTCCTCCCAAGTTTAAATTTAATCGTTAAGGTGTTTGAGAATATCTATACATGGCAACTCTAATGATTTTACATTACTTTTTACATACTACTGTAGTTCTAAGACAACTGAGTTTATCAACAATCAAATATAGTTATAACTGAAACTTTTTTTGTAGAAACTAAGTGAAAGCTTGAAACCAATTGTACATATTTACGGAAATGCACCGATCAACATATTTATTAGCATGAACCTATATACATTTATTTTTTTCGCGAACAAAGCAAGAAAGATATAGCGGAATGAAAACACTGATATAACGGAAAGAAAACAATTATGACAAAAAGCCTAAGCAATTAATATGATCTTCATTTAGTAAATAAATTATCTAAATGCATCTCAAAAGCCTTTTGGTAATCTTAATTAGATAAGATAATAAACAAATATGTCTTCCTGCAATTAGAGGGGATTATGTTAAGGTGTTTCCAGATGGTCTAAATCGCTTACTATGCCTTTTTTCTATTCTAGTAGATCACATTAGTAATAAAAAGAAATCAATTGAGGAAAGAAACAAGCATGTTGAAAACATGTTCTTTGTAATCAACTGTCTAGATGGTTATTAAGATGGGTTGTTATCAAAAGTTTAGAGATTTTTAATTTGGACTGACTTTTGCCATTAATTTGCATGATTGGCCTTTTCTTCTAGCAGTATATCAATCATAATTATTCAGATGTAATTATAGAACTCAGGGACTAACGGATAAAAACGACTTCACAATGAAACAATCGTGAATTATTGTATATTAATGTTATTAAACGTCAACCCCTTGGAAACATATTGATAAAATGGAACAGAAATAATGCAAAAAACAAACAAACCCAAAAACAGCTATATTTATAACTTGTATATAATGTGTTTATATTTTTTTGCACTGGCCTTTTTTAGTTTTAAATCATTTTAAATCAGAATATTTATCTTTTTTTTTCTAATTATCTGTCTTTGTTCATATGGAATGTTTATATAATAGATAGTTTCCATCTAAATTCTTTTTTTTAACGCTTCTCTCCTAATATCCACAAAAATAAAACCACGTGCATTTTATTTCAATTCCAACAAGACTATACAGTTGTTGTGTTTGTTTGTTTGTTTATTTATTTTTTAAGAATATAAGTCATCAAAATAACACGTATAGTTTACGGCACAAAAAGGCATACATATTGCTATAAAGACTGGACAATATAGAAAGTTATTAAACCTTTGTAAAACTTGAAAGGTAATAAAAATCAGATTTGAACTTTTCACATAAAGAAAATAGTTTAGCTGTATCAGAAATTATATACATGTAAGATTATAAATGTTTTCTTGTAGAATTGTAATAGATATTAGATAACAATAACACATGCCATTTTTTTTTATAAAAGATATATTTAGTCTGTAAAACTAGATATTTTTCTTTAATTTTTTAGTTTTAGTATTATAATGCATAACAACTTTTTATACGTAGGACATACAATAAATGCAACACCCACTTAGTCAATTCTTTGTTCCTGTTATTTAGAAATAAATGCATGTACTGCTTACAGTCTGAAAAAAAAGGATGAAACATAAAGCTAGGCACATGAAAGCTTGTCACTGACAATTATTCTTCCAGAACAATTGGTTTTTTTACAATATTTCCGTCAAACATTGTTCATTGTAATGTGATAAACATGTCATTCTCTGGAGAGAGAGATTCAGCACCGCATTCCGTTTATCACATTCTTCCCAACTTTACTAGTAGGGGTAACTTGCATGGAAATTATTACATTTCAGGTAAGTCTATACTACGTTATATTGTATTTTCACTTTTAATTACATGTAATGCTGTAACCGATTTTTAACGCACATTTATTATCAGATGTTGTTTATTTTAACTTGGAAACGATTGTTTTATGCAGATTATAATTATAATGGCATACTTATTGCTCGTTCGGTTTTTTTTTCTTCTTCTTTTCTGCTCATCTGTTCCATTTGATTTTAAAACGTTTGAACGGGAGACGTTCTTTTCACTGATTTAATTGACGGATTTAAAACATAATGTACTTCAATCACCATTATTTTGTCTTCAGCGATGTATATACTAGTACCTTATTGGTGAACTGATGTAGATCAAAATAAGTTTTCATTTTGCCATAATTCCTTTTAATTTAATAATTAAGTTCGCATAAACAATATATTACGCACATATCAAAACGAAATTTCTGTAAATATCCATTAGAATTTACCTATAACGCTTAGTTTATAAAAAAGAGGTGGGGGGGGGGGTCTTTTCAAATATTTGGCAGATATATAATTTTATCCTAAGCATTTTCCAATATCAACTGTTGGTCAAACAGGATTTTGACAATCTTTTGAAATATAAAGTGTCAATTCAGCTCAATTTGACTATGAAAATATGAGCATAATGTCACTTTAAATACAACGTAATAATTCGATGTTGTTAAATATACATAAATATTATGATGTTTGTAAGTCTTGGCAAAAACAGCATCAAATATACAAATCAATCAGATGACCTTTATGTTAACAAAAAAGTAGCGCACAATTTTTATTTTTTCATGATGATGATTATTTGCCTCATGAGAAAGAAAGGAAAATTAACATCAATATATTAAGTATTGTTTGTATAAATTGTTATTGATCTTATTCCCTTTTATCGCTTTTATATTTTGGGGGTATGTACGTGTTCGGTGGTTAACGCGTTGGACTAGTGATCTAAAGATTGCTGGACGCGTGAGTTCAAACCCCGTCACGGGCAAGCCGTTCTTTCCGTGAGCTAGAGACTTTATATTCATTGCTTAGTACTGGTTGTTACAGGTGTTTCAAAAAGCTTACGGCTTCCAACACAATTGAACTAAAATTAATAAGTATCAACTGAAAATAAACCATGAAAAGGTACCATTTGATATTATCATGCTGATGTTGAAATTGAATGATGGAATATGAGGTACTTATAAATCAATAAGAATATTCGGCGCTATTTTTTCATATGAGATTGGAACAATGACAGGCTGATTTAAAATGTAATTTATCAGATATTGGTGAGATATATTTCGTATCAAATTAAATTATTGTGTGAAAATGTGTTATTTTTTTTCTTCTCATAAATAGTTAATTTTAAAAATACAAAACAATATCGGGGGGAAAACAGCAACTAGTATGTTGAAGTTAATTTTATTTTAAAGTATCAGGCAAAACATAGACGTTAAGTCACAGTGACAATGAAAATATTTTCATTCAAATAGTTTTGGCTGACTTGATGTTCTCGAGGTTTATAGAATATCCTCCAAATTAAATTTTTCGGCTTAACTTGTTATTTGAAATGCAATAACAGAACTGAACAAAACAGATACTTTATTTCTGACTTAGGATCAACACCCATCATCATAACATACATATACATGTATATTCATTATAATACATGCGCCAAGAAATAATGTTATTGCAAATCCAATCAGTTATATTCCCATATAAAGAAAAACAAGTAAAACATGATATAGTCAACGCTATAAAGAAAGTCTAAAATAGAATAGTACATTAATATTGCCATACTGATATGCTTATCTAGACAAATAAATATGATAGTCTCAATCTTGCTATAATTAAGTGTATAAGACACGATCAAAACATGATAAGTTGTACAAGTGTGAGACACTCAATTCGATATCAAACAACAACAACAACAACATCAACAACAACAACTTTTTTAAAACTTTAAAACAGTCAAAAGTGTAAACCAAACTTTATAGGTCGGCCCACACGCCAAAATTAAAACTGTAAACATGTTGCAGGCTTGGTTTGATTGAACCTGTTCAAGGCAAAATATGCCTTAGAACTGATTTTTTTTCTGTCCTTTAGAAAGGGCAAACATGAGTTAAGTGTGAAAACAAAATCCCCCCCCCCAAAAAAAAAAAAACAAAAAAAAAAAAAAACAAACATCAAAAGCAAAAGACAGTTCAGGTTATTGACTAATAAGATTTTTTGAAAAATGTAACAGTTTGAAAAATTAAAGTAAAAACCTCTCTGGGGCCTAATGGGCTTTGAATTAATGTAAGTGGCAAATGAATCCTACAATCCGAACCCCAGAGCACCGGCTTAAGTGAAACTCAACATGAAAATGGTAACTAATGTACAGTTTTCATTCATTTCTTATTGAAAAATTTGACTAAGTCTTTATAGAAAATAAATTTTTTATTACCTCCCTTTATTGACATGAAATGTTAAATTCGGTCATATCTTTATAAATAATGCTTTTTGGAACTTACAAATTTGATAAATCTTAATTTTAGCATTATATTTATAATATAAAACCATAAAATAATTGTGTTACAGGATCTTTTAACTATCTTAAATATCACCCATTGATGTTTTATATTATGATTTGCATTATGGTTAATTACAGCTCAGTAATCACTGAATAATATCACATTTAAAATTGCACTAATTGTAAACCATGTGTTTTAATACGTACAAATAACAAAACACTAGAATGCAACATTTATTTATTGTCGTTTTATATGTACATATAATCACATCGGAGAATGACATTAGTTTGAACAGTGAATGCTGAACAACAATGAAAAGTAATTACTGACATTGTTTTGTGCTAATAAATTCTTTGTATATACTAGTATTTCTTCTAATCGTATCAATTTTCTTGATGATAATTCTCATGTCAGAAACATTTAGGAATTTGCCTACGTTCCCGACTTTCTCCCGACGGGTTTTTTTTAACACTTTCCTAAAGATGTACATGTTTCGTTATTCTGAAATGAGGGAAAACCCAACCTTACTTTTTAATATTTTGTTTTCTTTTCAACAAAGATGGTTCTGCTCAGCTTCGACGTGAATCACATCTTATCATTCTTACATAAAATACGTTACCATAAGAATTTTTATTTTTTATTATTATTTATATAGCATTCTAATGGTTTGTTTGGTCAGATTTAAAGGAAAAAAGCAGAAAAAGAAAAAAGCTATAAACATTATACAGAATTGGTCTCAACAAGTCTGATCTTTTTGTGTGTGTTTTTTTCTTTTGCCATATTATCATTACCACTATTATAGATGGGCATAAAATATAGGAAAAATGCGAATAGGAAAAATATAGGAAAAAATTGAGTGGTTGACTGTTCAATTACTTTCTCTATCGCTTACGTAAGTGCAAGTTGCTGATTGCATTTTTAATATTTATATGAATCAATCAAACGCAAAAACCACGTGCGTCAATATGTTCTGAAAATTGTTATATGGTATAGACATAAAGTCATACTGATTGAATGATATTATACAAGTATTTGTATCCTAATAAATCGGTAAATATCGACTGATTTCAGATAACATCAAGGCGTCTCCGTTTTCTTTCAACTGTTTTTCATCCCTTTTTAGAACATTGCATGAAAATTTATGAAGTATTTAAAATGGCACTACACATACATTTTATATCATTATATTTATTCTGATGACTTGTTGCGTGTCAGTAACAAACAAAATTTTTATTGAAAGCTTTCAATCGGATTCTCGGATTCATACGACACTATTTCAATTCATGGTCTCTTACTAATTAACAAAGTAGCTTAGAGTAATACAAGAAATACTGAAATAAAGTGAAACATTTTTCTACGGTGGGTATCTTTTTAAATGATTTAATGCAATCACGGAAAATGAAATACTTGAAATTTAAATGTAAATTATTCTAAGAGATGCATCGTTAGCAAAATGCGTGAGTGGTGTGGGTTTTTTTGTCTGCTAAAACATTGCAGTTTAAAAGGATTCAGACATCACATCATCGATTCTCTCTCACAGGGAAATCTGTTTCTCAATATTTTTAAAGATAATATATAAATTTGCATTTGAACGTTTTAAAACATGGCTGTTGTGATTTTCAATTCATATTCCATTTCTTGGTGAGTGCCTTATATTTTATTGATATGTAATCTAGTGATACTATTATGCAACAATGTTATATATTCATCTTGTCTTAAGAAGCATTAGAATTAAGAACAAATTCATTAATGGCAAGAACATAAGGTATGTTATGTCGCTTTGACTACAATAATGCGAGTTGAACTCTTGCTAACGCATGTTTATGTCAGATACGTTAGAATACAATGTATTTATATGTCTCTGTTTATGTTATATATTTGATATGTAATTATATCTATATCATTTTGATATAATGATTTAAATGTTAATAATCGTTGTATAATTGTATCTTTTCACAATATCAAAGTTTTAATTTTATTGCTAAGGAAGATTTATTGAAATTATGAATATTTGTTAAGTAGAATTTGGGAATATAGCGTAAACATTTAATCATTATAGTGTGATATCAATGTATCTTTCACAATATAAAAATCTAAAATTTAGTTTTAATGATTTTCGCTATCGTATACATGTAAATCAAAAACAATAACTTAATTAATATACAAATACATGACTGTACAAATAGATCGGTTTATGGCTTCAAGTATTTAAAGCATTTAACATGGTATTGTTTTTGTACTTAAGATTCACGGAAGAAGCTTCTTTGATGAATCTGAGAAAATAGCGTAAACATATTATTTTACAATTTTCCTATTATATAGTGTGACATTAAAGATAAAGTGTTTTTGTAAGGTTTAACCTTAGCTAGTACTTGCAGTACTTTTGTTGTTGTCAAAAGCTACGTTTATGTACGAGCTTATATCATATACACAGGGGTAATATTATCGTGTAATAACAAAACACTAGACAAATCACCAAGCTGGCAACATTCTTTTTATGTTTTTTTT